GGTCGGCCCGATAATAGAACCGAGGGTGCTATCATCGGCTTTGGAACATCGAATGAGTCCAATCGAAGTTTAGGTGATAAGGTTGGCTTTGGCTTTGGATTTGGCACGTCAGTGTGTTTGAGATGACTGGCGTGGCGGACCCGTCAGCTATCCAAGAAGTCTTCTGTGCGATGTTATATGGCAGAACAACATATGCTGCTTTTTCGTTGTACGATAAGAATAGATAAGCATAACCGAGAACATTTCAAAATAGACATCACGTATGAGACGTATGAAGCCAGCGGCCACAAGCGTCCTCCTAACCATTTGCCGCTCGTAACCCTAGAAGGCGAATATCGACTCCCATTGAAGGCCACATTCATGCGTGTTACGCCCTCAGTTGGCCGTGTGCCGCAGGATACATTAACCAAACCGAGGCGTATGGAAAGGAGGATGCGTGAACTCATACTTGCCCAGCCAACCCCTTTAAGGGCTGACACCAACCTCTGCTTCCAGCAGCCATGGCAGTAGCTATAGAGCTGTAATCTCAGAAAGCGTATAAATATATGTTCTCTATACAGACACCGACGACAGGTGGCAATCGCATGTCGTCCTCACCCCCGGATGACAGTTATTCATTCTGCGCACCCGACAGTGATGATCACTCCCGTAGTCGGCCTAACAGCTCACAGCTCACTTACTTTCCCTTTCACTCATTCTCACTCAGCTCGACATGTTGAGGCCTGTGACAATGATGCTTATTATTAATATGAGATTTATAAATCCTGTCTCCTTCTCATAAGTTCATTATCTACGCAAATTTGCAGACCGGATGATGAACGGTTGCTAACAGATGTTTGGCGAAATGATTTTCTGATCGGTCTCTTTCGAGGATTGTTAGTTCCTGCAGTAGTCACACCCATGTAAGCCTTCAATGGACCAAGTTTAGCAAACGTAAGTTTTCAATGGTCCACATATACATGCAATTCGAAAGGCGTAGAAAGCATGTATACAGGCGCTGAGGCTCCCTTTGCCGAAGATTAACTAAGCATGCGTCCTCAAGTCTCCTTTCACGTCATGAGATAGTTCCGAGACAGTGACAAAGAGAGTCCTCAAACCAGCTACCAGGACACGGTTGCATCAACTAATTGTCGGACCTCTCCCGCCCTTCTGATTCCTTGCTCGCTTAACACATGTCCTTCTTATTGACTGTTGATTGGGTGCTGTACTTTTGTCACTTTACCCAACCTTATATTTTTTTTAATTTCCTGATGATGAATGATCGAAAGCCAACGTTCATCCAACTTGAATTATTGAATTATTTTCTTTTTTTAACACTGCAGACTGGCACGTATGTAACGTCCCGAACGAAACAGTGTCCGCTGATCGATTGTTTTTTTGTGTTAAAAGAACGGAGCCTAATTGTAGATATCATTCGCCTCAAAAAAGGCTATTACTCCCAAGCATGCCGTGGAAAATGTTTTTTTATCCAAACGTAGTTCACAGGCCCTGAGCGTGAATACACAAAGACGAACCTTTAATGGAACCGAAGGTCTTCGACAATCGAATATGTCCAGTAGTAGTTTAAGTAATTAGATTGGCGCGTCAGTGTCTTTCAGCTCCTTGGTGAGCTGCACCAAAATCTCGTAGAGGACGACAAAAGAACTTCACCGTTTTACAGGCAACCCTTGCATTTACTAAAACTGAACCATATCCAAACTTCGTGCTTTGGTATGGATAATCAAACGGGTTCACTGCGCACTGGTGATTGGTTAATTGGACCACAAGAAATGGTGGAACTGCTAACATTGGCATATTCAAATCATCATATCCTGCTTGCCCAAACGTTAAACTACTGTTTGATTCTCTCTATGAGTCCAAAACTGCAGGTTTCCCAATTCTGGTTCTGGAATCCAAATTGTATCCTTTCCACAGCCTCCCTTAGACTCAAAGGGACGTTTGCATGGCCTTTTCCTGAAGGTAGGCTTTTAGGAAAGCCTCTTGAGGTGGCCGAGCATCCCAATTACTTCCCGACATCACCCAGACGCCTCTAACCTTCCTTCTTATCGTCAATTCATCTCTATTTCTGCCCGCAAGCTAAGATTTTAAGGTCTACCGTTACCCAATTTATTAATCCCTAAACTCCCCTCTTCGTAAACTAAGTATTCACACAGTAAGGAAGACCGGTATTGCACAATAAAAAAGAGTTTATAACGAGAAAACCAATAATCACATAGATGTGCAGTCAACGAGAAAAACAAATCAAAGACACCAGGGAATAATCATGAAAAAAGCAATAACATAGGGAACATGGATTGGGGACAAAGCCAAGTCTATATACAGCTACCAAATGTTGGCCCGGACCTAACTCGTGTTGAGCATTGGCGATGCAAACAGGGATTCCACAAAGGCACTCCGAAGATAGCTAGAGAGGAAAAGCTACTTATGAGATATGTTTGCGCAGCAAAATAATTAAAACATGGATTACAACTAAAAAAGCTAGTATTTAAACGGTTACGCAGAAGGTATAACCTAGCAGCGTGCCCTGTGGTTTAAGCACTATCAGAAGAAGCATATAATGAGTAAGGCTAATAGGAGAGCGTACATTCGACGGACAATGTGGCAGCAGTCAATAGCGGAAGAAGAGACTTACCGGCAGGCGTAGATACAATCTTCGGCAAAAAAACTGGTGGATTCAGAGCGGACACCGGTTGCCCGCCCCGGCGGTGTAGACCACTCGACAGCCAAGGCCAGTGCTCAATTAAGAACTCTAGCACCTAAATGAAAAATATCAAATTTTGGTAAGTGAGGAAAGAAAATATATTGAACGTCGAGCAGGAAGGAATGTCACTTGTGTAAAACGTACCTGGCTGTTGGTCTCGGCATTATCGGTAGTGCCAAAGAGAGCGGGCGACAGGCACAGGGCCAGTGCCCGAGGGGACATGCGGTTGTAGGCCCGAAGGCTCACAACCTCCCGTAGTAGACACATGACGTAATTGAGAGTTGCCGAACGCCACCCGCTCTCCCTGCCGTGCGCAATCCTTCCACCGGGACAGCCAATGGAAGAGGTGAGAGCAGCCTGCATTTGCCCCAGAGCTCGTGCCAGGCCCGCCGGTGTCCGCACAGACCGCCCAAATTCCTTTGCCATGATTGGCACAAAGGCGTCAACGTCCAACAGGCTATCCGGCAGTGCTGCCAGGTAGCGTTTGATAGCAGACGCGATTACGCGGCCATCAAATAACTCATCATCAGATATGAGACGGTCCTAGAGGACGGTTGCATTCTGAAACGGTAGAAGTATGCAAGAATGCATATAAGGACACATGTTAATAAAAATACATACTATAGTATGATAATTATGTGATGGATTAATGCAATAGCTTACGGTATTTGCGAGCGATTCTATTTGTTGGACTCTAAGTGCTCGACCGGGCACTCGGAATAGGCCCTCCGCATCAAGGCCACGCATGCGGAGGGCAGTCACCAGGTTCACTAGCACCCAGGGAACGCCCTATTAAATATAAAAGCAAGTTTAATGACCGGCAATGGAATACAAAAAATGCAGGACTTATTAAATCCCTCCACCGTGAGAACTTACTGGGTGCCGGGACGATTCTACCTGCTCCGAGAGTATGCCCCCGAACACGAGTGCCGTGGCAGGTGGTTGCTCACAGACTAGAATGAAAGGCATGAAGAAAGTGATGGTAGGAAGCGCAGACAATGGGTAAAACCACATAAGTTATCCTTCCCAAGACAGGGTGGGCAAGATTCCATACGTCGTGAACCGATGGCTGCCTGTGTTTTCCTGATAATAATCAAACCTCAGAATGCATGTGTATAGTGAACTAGTCTATCCATACAAATAAATAAACTTTGGCTTTTGTTTGGCCTGTTTGCTCTTTTGACTATTTAAGAACGGAGA